TATTATTAATTATATTTGGCACAGGGTCTTACTACACAGCTCGGACTACTAGTGATCCTCCTATTTTCAGCCTCCCCAGTGCTGGAATTACAGGCATATGCCACCACGCTCAGTCTTGATGGCTGGCTCAGTGCGCCCAGGGGTGGGGCCAGCACAGCATGCAGTACCGGGGATCGAACCCTGGTTCCTGCACTTGCTAAGCAGGCCCTTAGTCTGTTGAGCTATCTCGCTGGCCTTATTATTATTAGAAACAGGGTCTCAATATGTAGTCCAGCCTGCCTCAAACACATGGAAATCCTCCTGCCTCATCTTTCTACTGCTGGGATTACAGGTGTGCACTACCGCACCTGATTTATTACTTATATTGACACAAGTTCTGGCTAGGTAGCCCAGGCTGGCCTGTAACTCATGGTGAGTCTCCTGCTTCAGCCTCTTGAGCACTGGAATGACAGGAATTCACCACATTACTCACAGTGGAATCCTACGGCTCTTTGATGTGTCATCCTATGGCTCCCTCCTACACCAGGTTTTCCCTTTACCATTAATCTGCTGAGGAATCAGGGCTGTTGGACCTAGACTTGCTCTCTAACTGGACCTTTTTCATTATATACTCTTGGCCCAATTCTGGGCTGCTTCCCCAAAACTGGCTGGATCTAGGGATTTAATTGTCTGTCTGTCTGTCTGTCTGTCTGTCTGTCTGTCTGTCTCTCCCCCCAGTACTGTAGATTAGGCCTTTACAGTAAGGCACATCTACAAGCCCTTCAATTTTTTGGTTTTTTCCAACAGAGCCTTGCAAAGTTCCCAGTCTGGACTTAAACGTGGGATGTCCTGCCTCAGCCTTCCACAGTGCTGGGCTCACAGCCATGTGCCACAGGGTTCTGGTAGGTACTTTGGATCTCAGCTACTCCTTAGAGGCCCATGTGTGTTAGAGGCTCGGCTGCCCCTTGACACTGCTGGCAGTGGATCCTCCCTCCCGTTTCCTGCTCGCCTGTGGTGGGCACCCCTTCCTTCCCCAGCCCCCCCGCCATCCTCCTGTTCCTGCTTTTGAGCCGGCTGACGACAGACTGAGGCTGAGCCAACATAAAGCCCTGCTTTCCTTTTGGGTGTGGGTGAGGGGCCGGCGGGCGGGCGCACCTGCAAGAGCAGCTTGCGATAGCGGTCATTGAGCAGCTCAGCGTTGCTCTGCTCCTCCTCCAACTCCTCCTCCAGCTGCCCCAGGCGGCCCTCCAGCTGCCGCTTCTCCTCCAGCAGAGCTGCCCTGGAGAGGACACGGCGGGTGAGGGAGGCTCAGCCCGCGACCCCGGCCCTCATCGTCCAACCACTCACTTGCTGAGGCTGCCGTTGGCCATTTCATCGGCCATCTCATCGCGGTCCTGCTGTGCCTGGCGCCGTGCCCGGTCCGAAGCTGCCAGTTCCTGCGGCACACAGGGGTGGTGGAGGGGTCGCCCGCGTGAGGCAGACCGGTAGACTTGGGGCTGCCCTCTGTCCCTCGGGATTCAGCCCGCGGCCTTGTCTTCTCCTCACCCTGTCTTCCCCAGGCAACCGCGAAACGAGCCTCCACCGGCCCCAATCCTAGCTCCTGCACGGCCTCGCCCAGACCTTCCCGCTGAGCTGTGTTACAGTCAGAGCTTGGACCCCACAGTCACCAGGCCGACTGTCCTGTCCCTCCTTCGTGTCCCATTACCCGGCTCGGCTCTCCAGTCTGTCCCACTCCATATCTACTCCTAGAATAGAACCAACCCTACCCACGCTCAGAAACCTCCCAGGGCGCCCCAGAACCCTACAGGACCCCAGCCTTTCAAGGAAGTGGAGGGGTGTGGGGAACCCGGTCCACAACACACCAGAGACCCGCCCACCCAGCCTCAGAGCCAATCTTGCCCC